CTCCCAAGGAAGTTTCTATCATTATATAAATAAGCTTGATTTGCATGCTTAGGCCCCTCGAATTTTCCGGGTGCTTGTGGAATACATTCTGTACGCCTTACTCAGACTTATTGATCTAGTTAGCAGGACAATGATTTAGAATAGCATATCGTGTCACTGTATCACTGACTTTCGTTCCGTTGATCGAGTAAGGTGAACTCGTGATAGCATTTACTTGTTCATAAAAAATTTTATTTCAACTGTAGTGTGGTACTTTCATGTCAAGCCCACAGGGCTCACATCCCAGCCTTTGATCAACTTGATTATAGTCCACTATTCTCTAGTTATCATTCACTTATGTTTTGACCTTGTCAATCATTCGCTCATAACCTTGGTCGCTTTTATTTGTGTGTGTGCATGCGCACCAGTCTCGCTCAATACATACATGTCTGGCTTATTTTTATCTCACTAAAAATGCTCAGTGATATTTTTTCATCGAATGGAGTTGGCTCACTGATGTTCTCTTTCGGTTTGCCCTACATCAAATCTAACGCAACCAGCCATCAAACCACAATTAGCAATACAGAAAAACACTCAACCTTAGAATCCATCAAGTATTTTGCACATGCTTTTTTTAAAAAATTATCTAACTACTTAATCGATTTTTGTAAGAATGAATCATTTTGTTTAAGTAATTTTCTTCTTTTTTTTTGAAAAAAACTTTATTCCAAACTGTAAAATTTGACAGAAAAAATTGTATTTCTGTTATTGTGAAATGAAAAATTACTCTTTTTTTTCTTAAAGTTGGAGACTATCTATCAATTCTAAGCTAATGTTTTTTTTTATATACCTTGATATGCATTTTAAGTAATATTAACCGATCTGTTATCGATGAGTAACTAAGGTAAAGTAGTTTTAATTGTGAATTCTTATTTTTACTATTAAGTAATAAGGTTTAAATAAAACGTACATTCGTAGTTTACTGGTTTTCGATCATAGGTGTCTCCGTAGCATTGATCGTGTATGCTGGGATAACGAAGTAAGCAATGCTGTCGTTAGGAAACGGGTGCTACGTAAGGATGGCAGATCAATAGATGAAGTGGTGAAACTTCATCAGTTGAGCTGGTTGGATTACGTGTTACATATGGCTAACCGCCGACTGCCTCGACGAGCTATGTTTTGTGGTGTAGGAATAGGTTGGAAGAAAGCTAGGGGCGGCCAGACCAAAACATGGCAGAAATCCATGAAGTCACTGACAAGTGGACTGAGTCATGTTGGTAAATGTAGACTAACAGGTTGGAGCCCACAAGATGATAGTAATCGACGGTTAAAGACCTTGAATGACATGGCTCAAAATCGTTTGCAATGGCTCAAGTGCATCTACTCTTTGAGTCCTCCGAAATTCTAATATTCTGAATCGCTCATCATCTCTATCTTTCTGTTTCTAAAGTTATCTCACTGAATTATATTTTTTTAGCTGCATTATCGACCCTCAGTCATCATAATAAACAGTTTTTCAATTTCAATATTAAGTTACAACAAAGAAGTTCTTTTATTGATTATTTTCAAACTTGAAGGTCAAAATGCGGTATACAATCTAATTTTAGGTGGGATGCATATTTCATGCATTCATCCCATGGTGTTATGAATAAAATTGTTGAATAGAAATCAGTTATCTCTTCTGGATAAAGTAGTGGAACTTAAACTCAAATCTTGAATAATATTTAACGTTTACATTTTATCGAACTCTGGATAGAAACTAATATTATCTTTGGCTGATTCCAAGTGCTGCACTAGTTTTATCGATCAAGATGCAATGTGGTACCTAGTTGATGACAGGAATTATTGATTTTAAACTTACATCTGACACTTTGCCTCAGTTAATTTCAAAAGTTTACCATCAAGACAGTGCATGTCATGTTGAGTCACTTTGACCAACTGTCGAGTATTGAAGCTTGAACAAACATGATATTACTTAGTATTCAGTACTCAGTCAATGTAAATATGTTGATCAGCTGTTAGTCGAACAGATTAATGTTGACTTCAATGACTGTGTAACTGGAAGATTTGATTTTAAATTCTATGGAATGAGGCACAAGCTCTCTTAAGACTGTGCATATATTTTACTGGAAAATATCATGTAACATGCAGAAAAAGGTTAAATGATCAAGTTAGACATTAACACCGTTAGACACCGGCTCAGTAATCCGATATTTAGGTGTTCACCAACAATACCGAAGGTCCTGGGTTCGAATCCTGCGGGGTGCAGGAGTCGTGGATGCGCACTGCCACTGAGGAGTCCCATATCAGGATGAAACGGCCATCCAGTGCTTCCAGGTTTCTGATGGTGGTCTAACAATGATTTATTGATGATTTCAAATGTGTAAAAACACAAACCTTCAAAACTCTGCCCCAAAATAATATATTTACTTATTGGTGATTTATAATGGGGAGGAATTTTCCAAAGCACGGATTGAGGAAATTCATCATACAATAAATAAAACAGTAATTATAAACTGTGTTTGACCATGCATTTAGAACAATATCACTAATATTCATAAACAGTCTCATCAATGTTGTGCGTTTAATACAGCATGGGATTCTTAGTATAGGAATGAATTCCCCTTACTCTTTGAATACGTCGCAAAATCAGTGTGAACTACTACTAGACACCAACTCAGCGGCTCGCCGGAGCATATCCTTGATTGGAGATCTGTAGTTCATGAATGTCGTGTGCTGGAAAATCTTAGGATAATCAAGACAGGTGTAGAATATTTTCTGTTTTTAATTTGTGTGTGTGTTCACGAATCAGTTCCTGATGAGACGAAATTTTGAAGAGTATTATACTGTTTACTTAAGAGAGTAATTAAACAGTTTAGATTGATACTTTTCTATTTATTCCGTGATATTTGGAAAGTTGAGTGAAAACGAAGCCTAATTATGCTCATTAGATTTCTATAGCCTAAATGGATGCTTTCAGCTGTGTTATTCTGTTAATGTTAAATTCTGCCCAAAATGAGCTTCGATGATGTTATACGGAAAGACAATCAAAAGCATTGTCAATAAGCCATCAACAATAGATTGATGTAACAATCTAAAAAGGCCTGGGTAAAAAGCAGATAAGCCAATAACATAGGGTTTCCACCATCAGAAACTTGGAAGCACTGGACGTTCGTTTCTTCATGGTATGGGGCTCATCAGCAGTGCGCATCCATGACTCACTAGTGACTAACTTCAACGAAGAAATTCTCGGAGTTCTAGTGAAAAGACCTGACCAGTGGAAGGAATTCAACCCTGTCGAAGACAAATGAGTGAGATCTCGTAAAGTCCCTAGATTGATCAGAGTTGGACAGTAAGTAACACCGTTAGATGCCTGCCCAGTAGTCTAGAGGTTAGGCATTCGCACACAAGACCGAATGTCCTTAGTTTGAAGCCTGTAAGATGTGTTGGAGTCGTGGATGTGCACTGACACTGATGAGTCCTATACCAGAACGAAACAGCCATCTAATACTTCCAGGTTTTTAATGATTGAATAACAATGATCAATTCATGATCTCCATGACTTACTTACTTACTTACGCCTGTTACCCCCAATCGAGCATAGGCCACCCACCAGTTTTCTCCAACCAACTCTGTCCTGCGCTTCTCTCTCCAGTTCTGTCCAATGTTTGTTCAGTCCTCTCATATCTTTCTCTATTTCTCGGCGAAATGTATTTTTTGGCCTTACTCTTTTCCTTTCGCTTTGAGGGTTCCATGTGAGGGCTCGTCTCGTGACGCAGTTAGGTGCTTTTCTTAGTGTGTGTCCTATCCACTTCCACCGCTTCTTCCTGATTTCCTCCTCTACTGGAATCTCGTTTGTTCTCTCCCACAGTCCTTGTTGCTGATGGTGTCTGGCCAACAAATCCAAAGTATTTTGCGTAGACAACTGTTCATAAATACTTGTATCTTCTGGATGATGCCTTTCGTAGTTCTCCATGTTTCCGCTCCATACAGTAGAACTGTCTTGACATTTCTATTGAAAATACTGATTTTGGTTTTGGTTGAGAGTTGTTTGTAGTTCCAGATATTTTTCAACTGTAGAAATGCAGCCCTTGCTTTGCCAATCCGCGCCCTCACATCTGCGTCGGATCCAACTTTCTCGTCGATGATGCTGTCCATATATGTGAAGGTGTTAACGTCCTCCAAGGCATCTGCATCAAGAGTGATTTGGTTGGTGTATGCTGTGTTGCATCGGAGAATTTTGCTTTTTCCTTTATGTATGTTGAGACCTACTGCAGAGGCTGCTGCTACACTGGTCGTCTTCTCTTGTATTTGTTGTTGAGTGTGCGATAGAAGAGCCAGATCATCTGCGAAGTCCAGATCGTCTAGCTGCGTCCTAACTGTCCAGTTGATACCGTGCTTCCCTCCAGATGTTGACGTCTCCATAATCCAGTCGATTGGGGACCAGGAGAAAGAGAAAGGGTGAGAGTAAGCAACCTTGCCTCAAACCGATCTTCACCTCGAAAGAGTCGGTTAGCTGTCCTCCGTGTACGATTTCGTAGTTGAATCCACCATAAGAGTTCCGTATGATGTTAATTATTTTCTCAGGCACACCGTAGTGTCGAAGAAGCCTCCACAGTGTTTTCCTATCCACGCTATCGAATGCTTTCTCGTATCTCCATGATACTAAATGAAAAAAATATGGGCTTTCTTGGTCAACTAACTAACTAACTATAAACGAAGATTAATTTACTTTGACATCATAAACATGAAATGCTAATTTACATAAATAATTTTTATCATCCAATGCCGATTGAAACATTCATGTCATGTTATTTTTGATTTGTTAATATACAATTTACATATACAATTGAATAACAACTAACTATTAGAACCGAACTGAACAAAATGTGTTGATTATTAATTTGTCTACAACCATTCAAAATAATTCACCTGATCATGTATATGTTTGTTATTATCTGTTATTATCTCTCAATAAATTGTATGTATACATTTTATTCGTTTCTTTTAATCCACTATAGAATTTGATCATAATGCACGTTTAAATGCAAGACATCGTATAGAAGAAGAATATTTACAAAATTTAGAAAAACGTTATGATGTTAATATGAATCAGTCAAATAATAATGAAGCACTCCATAGTACACATTTAACTGGATATGATTTAATACCTCATAGTTTATTGATGTCTACTAGTGTTGATGGTTTACATGCTGTAATGACCACAGTACAAATGGACTCTTCAAGTATTTATCGTACAGTGGATCAAACTATTTTAAAGCCAAATACTACAGAAGAGAAAATTATTGCAAATAAATGTGAGTATTGTTCTTGTTCTCAAGATGATATTGATCATTTTTTGCAATGATTTTTGTTTAAATTGAATAAAGGATGGAATTTGTAATTCACTTAATGTTAAGATGAAATTTCCTATGAGAAATAAGATTATACTCAACCAAATCTTCTGTAATTGTAGATCAGAGTAAGTTGCGCTATTAACTCAATGCAGAAGAGAGAAATCAACATGATACAAGTAATTTTAGGACTAAACGTACAGAAAGAAATAGAGAATAAAACGTATGAAATAAAATTTGAATTTAGCGATTTAGGGGAAAAATGGTATGAATGCATCTACATTAGTGTGATCGATTTTTTGTCACTAAAGTCACTGAGTAACATTCATAAACATTGGTTGGACCACAACCTCACGATCCATACCTTACTTACTTACTTACGCCTGTTACCCCCAATCGAGCATAGGCCGCCCACCAGTTTTCTCCAACCAACTCTGTCCTGGGCTTCCCTCTCCACTTCTGTCCAATGTTTGTTCATTCCTCTCATATCTTTCTCTATTTCTCGGCGTAATGTGTTCCTTGGCCTTCCTCTTTTCCTTTTGCCTTGAGGGTTCCATGTGAGGGCTTGTCTCGTGACGCAGTTAGGTGCTTTTCGTAGTGTGTGTCCTATCCATTTCCACCACTTCTTCCTGATTTCCTCATCCACTGGAATCTGGTTTGTTCTCTCCCACAGTATGTTGTTGCTGATGGTGTCTGGCCAACGAATCCGAAGTATTTTGCGTAGACAACTGTTAATAAACACTTGTATCTTCTGGATGATGGCTTTGGTAGTAGTTCTCCCGGATTCCGCTCCATACAGTTGAACTGTCTTCACATTTGTATTGAAAATGCTGATTTTGATTTTGGTTGAAAGTTGTTTGCAGTTCCAGATATTTTTCCGCCAGTAGAACCTTCGGGTCTACTGCCAGTCCCAAGCCCGGGTAAAGGAGGAGGGTTGGACATGGGATTGGCGCCCCCATTCCATCAAAAATTAACTTGCCAAAAAAACGCTAACCAGAAAAACGATCCATACCTACCAATATATATAAAAGCCAAAGTTTTCATAAACGAATGCCTTTATTTTATTGTATACTCAATCACTGTTCTATTCATTTCATACGCTTTTAAGCTATGTGAACAGCAAATTGAAAATTGGATCAAATATCAACAACTAGTCAGTTTAAATCTGATGGATTTTTCCTCTCTCTAAATTTTACTACACAATTGTCTAATCATCATTCATTATTATTTATGATTTGGTAGTTGGACTACAGATCTTACCTGGTTGTAAACATTGTACATTGAAACTTCCGTAAATTGATTTGTCGAAGTAGACTCTCCGTTAATCGTTTCATTGGTTTATAGAGAATCAAATTAAAAAACTGGTGATTGAAATTACTCAATTCAGTGTATCAGAAATAAGCAGCAGCATAGTACTTGACAGAAAGATGGGTATTTCCAGGAATGATTATTAGTGTGTATTGCTTACATATAGACCAATGATTAGTGATATTGTTGTTATGGTCGTCACTTAATATGCTTGAAACTATTAACAGTTTACCTTAGTCGATAAACGAGAACGAGACAATGAACTAGTGACACAGAATGCTACTCTGATCCATTGCCCCAAAGGAACTGACGAAAAAGTCTTAATATAGCGTAGAACGTGTATTCTACAAACACCCAGCTAGCACACAATAATCTCAAGAACACAAATCGCGTTTATTTATACATCATAGAAACGTCCTAAGGAGGGTCACAAAAATAGCATGATAAAATGACTCATTAACCGATCACAGACAAGGATTTTACTGGTGGGAAATGAAATCTCAAGGTCAACTGATCAGCCTATGAATAAAATCCGAAATTGTGGCCTTTATCAAGTGAGTTCTGGAGGTTTAACGTCCTGAACAATTGCTAAGTAAGAAAACTAATTATTGATATTTCGTTAATCTCATTTAACGACTAAACGTACAGATTATCTGGTTGGGGATAACGTAATTATTATTTGAACTGATGGTTGAAGACGTTTAGTGACTAGACTCAAAATTAGTAACATTGGTGATGTAATCGGAGTTAGTCTGCCCTTTCTCATATTGCGTAATCATGAAATTTATTCATTCTTCTCGATTTATATTATCAAAGTTTGGTTTTTTTTCTGATATCATTGATGTTATGATTACTGTTACAATCTAGCTGTTTCTTTGGATAATTTCATCGTACTTATGAAGATGTTGGTTTCTACCTTGAAAATATGAATGAATTACTGTTAGACTACAACATTAGAAACCTAGAAGCACTGAAAGACAGTCATTTTGTCTTCTTAGTATGGGACTCATTTGTGGCAGTGCGCATCCACAACTCGTAGGACCTTTAGGTCTTACTTTACTAATGATGTGACCTAGAAATTTGAATTTTGTGTGTGAATTAAGCATCCAATTTCAAATGTTGGTTTATTTTAAAATTATAGACTGATACGGGCTAGAGAGTCGCGATGTAGAGCTAATATAAACCCAGTTTACGCATAACTCAATATTAGCCCGAAAACCAGCAAAATAATTTATACTAGTGGTAAGATTGATAATACTGGATGTGAAGATGATGATGGTTGTGTGATAATAGGATTTTTCTAAAGTTGAAAATACAAATTACTAGATTTCTTTATTTACCAATGGGAATGATATGGTGTTTGCCTTGAAAGAGAAAACATTCTGCATCTATCCATTCTTTCATGAAGTTATGCAAATTATGCAAACTGCTGAATAGTCTCTAAAAATTGTACATAATAACTCATATCTAAATACGTCTTGATTCACATTAAATCCCCAATCGATGTCACCTCGTCAGGGGAAATCAAATCGACATTGCATTGAATAAAATCATCGCACTTCACTAGGTTGTTTGTCAGGAAAATAAAAATTACAACATCAGTCAAACAAATCACTTGATCATATTCAAGTATTCATGGAATTATGCTTATAGATGTTTGGTGTCATCCTACTTTACACAATAAACATATTTCTGATTTGTATTAGTTAAGATTTGACAAATTGAAATGGAATAGTTTCTTGCAAAAGTAATCACGTTTTGTCCGATATCTTATGCTTACACTTAAGTGTTATTTGAAGTTATGAATTGAAAATGTGTAACAGTTGAACTAACTAGTTCAGTTATTACTTATTATCATATAAATTTATTGCATTATGGGGTTGTGAAGATTGTTAAGTTACACATTTTTGGAAACCATGAATCGATCAATGTTAGACCATCATTAGAAACCTGGATGCAGTGAAACACGGCCGTTTCGTCCTGGTATGGGACTGACTCATCAGCAGTGTGCATCTGTGACTCCTACACCTCTCAGAGTTCGAACACGAGACCGATACTGTGCGCGAACGCCCTAACCGTTAGACCACTGAGCCGGTATCTAATGTCGTTAATGTCTAACTTGATCAAATTCACGGAGTTGCGCAACCTCATACACAGTGTTCGGTAGTAGTTACTGCCTACACCCGAACAGGTTGAACTTCGCTGGTCACGTCTTCCCACTAGAACTGGGAGAAGATTCCTCACGAAGCTAGTGCTCACTAGTGAGCATAGGTAATTTGCATTACGGGGTTGTGAAGTTTGTTAAGTTACACATTTTTGAAACCATGAATAGATCAATGTTAGACCACCATTAGAAACTTGAACAATACGTTTATTAGATTTTGTCTACTGATCACTTTATTTCAATTTATCAAAATTTATTTTCCACTCATTTTTATATTCATTTAAAGATACCTGCAATTTTAAAAATAAGTTATACATACACAATTTGAACTAATGTTTAAAGATCAAATTTCAGCAGAAAACATTCTGAATTTGTTTTTAGTTATGTGTATAAAACTTTAAAATTACCCCGACTTTTGATCTTTCACTGTGCGTCAACTGAATCAATGTTCAATATAATTCAAAATACGACTATTATCGTGACTTAACTATGTTTAATTTTATGATTGAAAAAGATTTTTCTTATACAACTGGGACTAAAAAATAATTCACTAGCGTATAACTAAGTAATTACATAGTTTACACAAGATAATAATAGTAATAACGATAGCTTTATTCAACATTCAACATGTGTTTAGTACAATCTACATCAACTTTATTGACTACGAGAAAGCATTCGATAGCGTGGATAGGAAAACACTGTGGAGGCTTCTTCGACACTACGGTGTGCCTGAGAAAATAGTCAACATCATGCGGAATTCTCATGATGGATTCAACTGCAAATCGTGCACGATGGACAGCTAACAGACTCTTTCAAGGTGAAGACCGGTGTGAGGCAAGGTTGCTTACTCTCACCCTTTCTATTTCTCCTGGTCCCCAATCGACTGGATTATGAAGACGTCGACATCTGGAGGGATGCACGGTATCAACTGGACAGTTAGGACGCAGCTGGACGACGTAGACTTCACAGACGACCTGGCTTTTCAATCTCACACGCAATAACATATGCAAGAGAAGACGACCAGTGTAGCAGCAGCCTCTGCAGCAGTAGGTCTCAACATACATAAAGGAAAACGCAAAATTCTCCGATGCAACAAAACATGCACCAACCAAATCACTCTTGATGGAGATGTCTTGGAGGACGTTAACACCTTTACATATCTGGGCAGCATCATCGACAATCAAGGTGGATCGGATGCACATGTGAGGGCGCGGATTGGCAAAGCAAGGGCTGCATTTCTACAGTGGAAAAATATCTGGAAGTCCAAACAACTCTCAACCAAAACCAAAATCAGCATTTTCAATACAAATGTGAAGACAGTTCTACTGTATGGAGTGGAAACTTGGAGAAATACCAAAGCCATCATCCAGAAGATACAAGTATTTATGAACAATTTTCCAAGCAGAACACTTCGGATTCTTTGAACAGACACTATCAGCAACAACGAACTGTGGGAGAGAACAAACCAGATCCCAGTGGAGGAGGAAATCAGGAAGAAGTGGTGGAAGTGGATAGGACACACATTAGGAAAAGCACGTAACT